ATAGAAACTAGAAAAACATCCATTTGTGTGGGTTAAAAGATTTTCATGTTACGGTCCTTTAGGGAAGAAATCGCTGAAGCTCAGAGGACAAATAAGCCCAGTGGTAGGTGCCACTACTGCCTGATTATCAGCAAGACCTGTAGAGAAGAGACCAAGAGCATCCCAGCCACAGGAGGAGCTCCCAAAGAGGAATACATGTTTGTCAATGCAGAGGAGGAATTCTTTTATGAGGTAAAGTGGGGAAAAAAAATCTGCACAGAGTTCAAGGTTTTAACTAAATATTTATTATACACGGGGCCACTTGCTTAACAGTATCTGGGTAATAATACAGCAGTTCGTTAGCTCATGATAAATATTTAAACAGCCATCTGATAACCTATTCAATATATTTATACTCTGATTTCAAGCCTGATCCGTGTTTGCCTTACAGCAAGCCATCTTGAAGTTCCACTACACAGTCCAAGAAGAGGCAGACTCCTGTTTAAGTGGGAGGTGGTCATTTACGGACGTGCCCATGAAGCCTTTCAGGACTGTGATGCTGGTACCCACAGACAGAATGCCTGCCATCATGGAGAAACTCAAAGAATATCTATCAGTGTGACCTTCACAATAAACCAAGACACCTATGGACACAGTGACAGCTTTCAAGCTTCTGAAAAACATTCAATATATTCAATTTTTGTACAGTTGGCTTTAGGGATGCGTGTATTCATATTTAGAATATGTAGGGCGATAGTTTACCCGTTTTTAGAAATTTTAAAGACAGTTTGTACAAATTGTAAAGACATAGGGAATAATCACATACTTGAATACTGGAAGAAACTACATGCAACTGCGTATCAAAGGGTGTTTATAGGAAGACTTCAAAATGAGATGAGCTTGGTGTTAAGTTGTAAACAGAAGAATGGGAGTAATGGCTACAGAGCAAATGAGTGGTTTTTAACACTCAGCTACACGTTTCATCCCTTCAAGAGCAGACTTTTCTTGATGTACATTCTAAGATAAATGGGCAAAGCACAGTTATTCTGAGCAAGTTGTTTCATACGTATTTCAGCTTTAAAATCAGATCCTTGGATGTGAAGGTATATCAAATGACAGTGCGCATAAAGTCCACACCTAAGCAGTGTTGCGGAAAACCCCCTCACTCATTGTTTTTAGATCACAACTATTAAACTGCAAACTTTTCTATATTTACAACACAGACATCTTTGCCTTCTCAGCACTGTAAGCACATTGGGTAGTACACATGAGTAATTTAATGTAATAAATTAAGCTTTACTGTATTAATTACACAAATGTCTTACAAGCATTCATGCATTTGCAGTCTAAATTTGTGATTTTCAGTTTACTGAATCATACATCTGTCATAGGTCTGTGTCACTGCTGCACAGCCACTGTTTACGTCACCACTTATTGTTGCAGCTTCCTGTTTCTTTTCTTTGCGGTTTTTGGATCCCTGTGGGTCCAACATGTCTTGCAGTATATCTTTGCTTTCGCTAGGGGGCAGATTGTAGAAGAAGTACAGTGGTGCAATTTCAATGAACCTAAAAGAGAAATTTGAAAACCAATATTAAATGTAAAACATTTGCGTCAACACAAGATATTGTGTAGATGAAGAGATTAAAAATATTCAAATTAAAATGAGATCAAATGGCTCATGCTTACTGCAGTCATAAACATGTTTGTTTTACCTCTGCACTACACGAGAGATAA